GAAAAAGTGATTGATGGCTCCATATACTTATATCATGTATTTTTTTATAATCAAATGACAGATATTTTCATTAAAGGATTATGTAATAAATCTCTTCAAAACCTAATTTGCAAGTTGGGCATGTATGATATTTTTGCACCAACTTGAGGAGGAGTGTTAATAAAGGTTCCCTATTAAGCAAGATATTATATTAAATAGGATATTTCATTATTAGAATTCTAATAATAAAATAACATCATGTAACTAGAATCCTCCTACAATAAGGATGATTCTCTATATATATCTTAAGTGTAAATACAAAGAATAAGAAATAAAAAAAGTAGTATATTTTTTCTTCAAAAATATTCAAAAAATTAGTTATATGTAAGTCTATTTAAAAGCACATTAAGTTGTTAATTCTTTATTAAATGAAAATTTAAGTTTTTTTTCATCTAAAAAAATTTCAATAAATAGTTATAACACTAAATGTAAGGCCCGTAATATTCATTAAGAGAATCCCTTAAATGGAACGCAATAGAAATGACGATTATAGGGCGAGGGTTGGAGAAACTAAATTCAAGGATCCTAATTAATTTTATTTTGAGATATTGACCTAGATTGATATTGGATAACCCACCAACACTTCTTAGCTAACTTGGTCAATTTTATTTTAGCAAACAAAATCGTACAACAATGCAAAATAAAAATATTCTAGAACTAACATATCTCACCATAATGAAATATTAATATAACTGTATTTTTATGTAGTATTAACTATATTTAGCTTATTAGGAACGATTAAAATAATTAGGAATTTTCTTTCTTATTTAGTTAAAAATTTTATTTTATTATTATTTTCCTATTTAACTGTTCTAGTTATTATTATATCTATTTTTCAAGTTATCTTTGTCAAACACCAATCAACTTTTAACTAAAAACGTTTGTACTAATCATCTATTTTAATAAAATCTTTAAAACTCATAACACAAGTTACAGGCGCCTCAAACACCCACTTAGACTCTAATACCAACTAACGATAGGTCAAGAGTTTGAACACTATATTTAGAGAAATTTTTAAAAAGAAATCTTGAATCTTAAAATTCAAATCAACATCTAATTGTTTGTCTAATAATCATATGAATGGTCTACCAAACAACTAAGCTAGGGAATCTGCTGAACAGGAAAAAAAATCAGGGTAATCTACTTAATGGGAAAAACTAATTAAGTAAAACGCTATAATAGAAAGGAGCTAGAAACGAAAATCAAATCTTCCAATTCCTTTTGAAATAAAACTTCTCAAAAGGTTTCTTTTCCTTATCTACATCAATTAGTTTCTTGGTCATTGAATCAAAGAGGATTCAGTAAATACTACCTAAAGTACTGAAGACACCAAGTCAATGAAGCAAGAAATATTTACATGTAAACTATAATGTTCTAGAAATAAATGGAAATATTTTCAGCCAATGGTCCCTGTCTATTCCCATATTTACTAACAAACAAAACTTCTCAACCTGAAATAGACCAAAGCCCTTATCTGCTTGAAAACTCTGAAGTTCTTTGAAGTCCTATAAATGATTTCAGAGTTTACGACTTGATTCTGGATTAGTTGCCCACTCTTTATTTCCTGGTTTGCTTCCTCAGACTATTATTGCTTCCTTAAAACATTGCTTAGTCTCTAAAAGGTAGTGTTGCTTAATTTGATCCCTTATTATGCGTTATAACTTTAGACAATAAAGAAAATTATCTTTGTAATATTTCAGTGAGAAACAAAGTACATTGAAATCCAACCAATACTTGCATTAATTTATTTCTCATCACATATTCTTCAACAGGAAACTTTATTTCGAAAACAACTCTTCCATAGGAAATCTTGTGTTCTTTTTAAGAAGGAACCCTTCTGAAATGTTTAACCATAATTGTCTTCTGAGTTTTAAAACCATGAAATAAGTTACCAAGCTCCCCATTGGATAATGTAGTGAGGATATAGATTGCAAGTGAGTTTTATCAAGGATATTACCTGTAAGAACAGTGTTGAGCAAGAGAACACCCTGAAATAAAATAAAATTTACATCAAAGAGAGAAGAACAACTGTTGCAACCTAATCTGCATTTTTTTTATGGAAAAAGAACACATTATTTAGAGAGAGAGAAAGAGAGTACAAAATAGTGGGAGGATAATACATCCTCCGAAAAATAAGAAAGAAATCCAAAACAGAGAAATATGCAAAACATCAATCCAATAAGTCTTCCCAATCCCTTTGCATGACGAACAAGGGTTACTAGTTACCCTGAAAGAAACCATGCGGCGCCTTGTCTACAGTGAGGCTATCTAGACCGATATGAAACTACCGTGTTCCTTTTTGCATATTAAAGTATCATATGAAACTAGTTCATAGAATAGAACAAAAAGAAAACAGAAACTGTATTTCATTCAATAGAAGGTTCTAACCTTATCAATAAACATACATGGTGTAAAAGTATAATATCACCTATATATACATGAGAAAATCCTCCCAAGCTACCTTCGAAAAAAACATCTGCCAATTCCATAAATTTAGAAGACATTATTACAATGCTTCAAAAATTAGCAAGAAAAATTAGGTGCATTAGATTTTTTTTTTGTAATGCTTAAATTCTTTATGTCTCTTTGAAAGGGAATGCATGTGCTTCTAGAGTATTATTTATGATTTGAGTTGTCCTAAAAAGAAATCTTCTCTAGTTGTGAGAAAGATGCTAACTTTTATCTCATTCCTATATCACTAGGAAAAAGGACAACGAAGAACTAGAGTTGTTGTTTCTTTTTTTTTTTTTGAGAAGAAAGTGTAAGTATATAACAAGAACTAGGCTTTTTGTTTCTATCCAACCTGATTTAAGACAATCTACCCCAAGGCACTATTTTGTATCACATCCAATTAAGAATGTATTAGCTATCCAACCTGATTTAAGACAATCTACCCCGAGGCACTATTTTGTATCGCATCCAATTAAGAATGTATTAGCTATTATCTACTTTATCACAAAGCATAAATTAAAATCTTGAAAGCTGCCACTTCATGCAAATACTCGAAATAGGATCCAGAATACCTCCTTAAACTCACGACAGTATTAGTGGAACCATAACTGGGTAATATCCCTTCTCCAGCTATACAAGCTAAAGATACACCCTCAAATCCCCCTTCTTAGAAAGGTAACTAGCTTTATTAGCAATTCATTCTCTGCTATTATGGAATAAATTCATGCACACCATCCATGTGATTTGATAAGATTGTCAAAAGCCTGGGAACATCAATTGATAGCTTCAGCACCATATTGATCTGGTTAACTCCATAATAGTCATTCTCTTCCAGAATCAGAATTAGGAATATTGCATGTCATAGATAATATCTTAAAATTTAAAGAAAAAAAAACAAACTTAAGATATTAACTCCAATTTATATGTCAGTAGCTCTTTAAATTTCCAAGTCCTATCAGTTGATTTTGAGGCCATTTATAGAATTGTAAGAATGTTTTAATTGAAGAGCAGTAACTGAATGTTAAACCCATGCTCAAATCCACTAAGTGCAATACCACCTGGATATCTCTTTCCTGTTCTTTTATATTGACCCATTTTAGCAGAAGAAGAACAAGTAAGCTTCTAAAAAGGTTAAAATGATTGCACAAAACAGAAGAAAATGCCAATTCCAACGTTTAACATTAAAGCAATTTCACCTGTACAGCCCATTTCTCCAGATTTCCATGAGATGGAATGGAACAACCCAGATCTTGCTTAAGTTCCTTAAATATGTTCATCAGACTAGAAGGGAACTTCACTCCTTCTGGCACCGAAAATGAGAGACCCATTGCCTGACCAGGTCCATGGTAAGGGTCCTAGCAAGAAGAGAATTGGAAAGGGTGTCATAAAAATATATATTTACAATCAAAGTACGGGAGAATAAACTAAATAAGCAAGTAATATGACATTACTAATAAAATTCAATCCCTAAACAAGATAATGGTAGAAATGAATCAAAACAATATTTTTCTTAAAACTTTCACCAAAAAATCCATCAGACATATAATTACTAGGTACCCAACAAGAGCAAGATGGGATTTTTTTTTTATAAAATAAGAAATATATAGAAGATAAAGGAGAAAAAAGTACAAAAATAGAGAATAAGATACCCTACAAAATCCTCCTAGAACCAAAAATCACAGCAAATTAATCTTTGTAGAGAATGGAAAAATAAATAAATTACGACTTAAAAGTTATAAACTTGTCAAGTATTTAGCACAAAAATGTCCGAAATTTAGATATTTAAGAACAGATAGTCACATTTGTACATGTTTTCTTCAACTTATAATCACATTTATACATGTTTTCTTCAACCTAATTAGAACAAATAATCATCTCCTCACATGATGATAATCTCTAATTCTACATCATCATAAGTCCAAACATGCACATCAAGTGTTAGATACAAATCCCATACGCACAAAAATGCCCTGTCGTATTTGACAAGGGTTTGACACTAAAACTAAAGAGTCTGAGCACATAAGGCCAACCTAAACATCTCTAGAACACAAATTTGTCACGTTAGATTTTAAGATATTAGCATACAAAACAAGCAATAAAACGAATAAGGACATGTAATTAGGGTCAAAATTTTTACTGATCTCCAATGCAAAGCGACTTGGAAACTGCGAACAAGGATGTTTGATGAGCTCAAGTCACAAAGGAATGGCAGTGAGAAAAGCTGCTAAACCTCTTTGGCACGGAGCTTTTCATGTTCGGATGATATAGAACGAAATCAAAGAATCTTTTAGGACCATATACCTATCACATCCATGTTTCTGGGATGGATAGACACTTCTAATTGTTTAATGGGCACGAGCTCATGGGGAATTTTTTAATATGCCTATATCAGTGTTATATAGGAGTTCGGAGGCAACAATATATTAATTTTTGGTGTTTATTGTTGTAACTGTATCTTACTTTGGATCCTTCTTTTAGAAGGCTCTAGGAGGATATCTTATTCTCCATCATTGTATTTTACCCTGAAATTTTTTGTTCATGGGTCACACATTTTAGTACTGGCAAAGATTTAGGGGATCTAATTGATATACTGGTTGATTTTAGATACTTTACATATGGGTCTACACTCTCGTGGTTTTGAGTAGATGATCATACTTTTCTACTAAAAAAAATGGGTCTGGCAGACAGGAAATGTTTTACACATAATCAAACCCAAAATTTCATCCGCATTGTCAATTCAATCGTATCCTATATCCGTTACATTTTTTTATTCTTCTTGCTTCCATTAGCTTTTGTTGTTATTTTGTTTCCCAACACCTTGCTGACCAACCAAACAGGCAGAGCTCAGAAATATATAGAAAAATTATTCAACAATTACATAGATTACTACAACTAAGGTGGGATTTTAACACTCTCCCTCACGCTAAGCGTCAAACTAGAGAAAAACCATGAGCTAGAATTTAGGCTGATATCATAATAAAATCTTAGAGAAAAAAGATTATGGGTTACATGGGATTTTACGCGAAGTAAAAGAAGAGTGACTGAACAGATACCTGGCCAATAATGATAGCCTTAACTAGATCAAATGGAGTACAGTTAAGAGCATTGAAAATAAGCTGTTGTGGTGGATATATCGGCACCCTGCCAGCGCTGATCTCGTTTTCAACAAATTTCTGCAAGCTCTTCGCGTACGGCTTCTGTAGCTCTCCGGGAAGGGCTTCCAACCACGAGTCCTCCACCAAGAGCTCTTCCAATCGCACATACCCTACACCCTCGGCTACAAAGCCACATAATATTTCCCGTTTATTCCAAAAGAAAGCGAAGAAAGAGGAAACCTTAGAATTAAAAGTTAAAAGAGGATGGGCGAATTGAGTGCGTACCTGTGGATTTGACGACTCTTTGTGAGCAGATTTTGATATTACGCTTGGATTTCGCAAGGAATTTGTTGAATTCCATACGCGACTTTTGCGCGGGGGTAAGGCCGGAAGGATTAGAGTCGGGGATGAGCCGGGAAGATTCAGATTCAGGAGTGGAGGATAATGAGTTAGATAGAGTTTTTGCCACTTTGAAAGGACTGAGTTGTTGCGGTTTGGAGGGATCCGGCGAAGAGGATAGCTTCAGACGCTTTGCGGGTTGGAATAGATCCATAAGGGTTCTGGAGGAAGCCATCACTCTCTGCCTCTGCAGAAAGAGTTTTGGCGGGAAAAATTGCCCAGATGAATGCAAATGAATACGAGGACCTTGGCTTTACGCCTTTTTGTTTCGCGCTACTGGAGCTACTGCAATCAATTAGGAGCCAGAAAATGAGTAAATAATAAAATATTCAAAGTAGATGTGAGTGAAAGAGAAAATATTAGTGACGTGTGTAAAAGAGGCGTGGAAAGTTTCGGTATGGATTTATACTGCCTCATAAATTTTAAATAATCAAGTTTAACTAAATTATATTAATAATTAAGATATTATTTAAATATTATTTTATTTTTTGAGTAAAATTTATTTGAACATTGTTGGATAATACAAAATGGCAAATTTTTAAATATATTTTTTGGTAAAAAAATAATTAAGTAGGATGAGTTTACTATAATGAAAGTGATGAATGATAAATAGAGAATGTCACGTTGTATGGTATATAAAATTAACTTATAAAAATAGGTAATTGAATTTAAACTTACTTTCGGTATGAGATATGTAAAGATATAAGTTTCTTTTTCGATGATATGTTTAAGAAAGTTACATATTTTCTCGTATCAACATTAGTCATTCAAATTTTAATAATAAATTAAAAAAAAACGAAAATAAATATCATTATTTCTACTTTTAAAAATTTTTCCTAACTTTTTAATAAATTACTTTAAAAGTAAACTAAAGAAAGAAGAAAATAAATGTCATTATTTCTGCCTTTTAAAGTTTTTGTTTGTTTTTTAACAAATTACTTATTTACTTTTATATCTTTTTTAAACAGACAATTAAATAATAATTCAAATTATTTTGTCATAAATATCTTATTTTAAATTCTTATCAAAATAATTGCTTATTTTTTTATAAATATTATTTTATCTAAATTTATAGTTATTTGTTCTTAATAAAATTCTTATTTTGATTAACTTAGATAATGAAAGCTTAAAATTGACCTTATATTATTTAAAATTATTCAAAGAAGCACTTTGAAAAATTTTGGGTTGAATTGAATATAAAATTATTGAATGTGATTCAAACAGGAAATTAGTTGTGATAGATAATGTAGCATTTTTTACAGTATGGCAATGATATGACATCTATAAATAATTAAATTTTGAAATTTTTTTCTTTTTGTTTTAAGACAATCATTTTCTCCAAAAACAAATTAAATTATTAAATAAAGTTGAAAATATAATTTTAATTTTTTACTTAGAAACCCTTATATAATATTCTAGTCCAACTTGTAGGTCTATTCCAAATTACTTATTATTTTAAACTTATTTTTATTCATATGGTTGGTACACTAAAAAATAGGTAGTTTTCTCCCTCCTTTATATGATCGTGGAGCTCCGTCTCACTCTTCATTCATTTTTTAAAATTAAAACCCTAAAAATTGATTTATACTTTTCATACCTCTATCTTCGTCTCCTCTACCTCCTAAATTTCATCATTATCATGTTCATATCTTTCATAGTCAACTAAATAATGTTGTTATTAAGTGGCACATACTATGTGACCAAAACATTCAAAATTTAAAACTTTTTTACTTAATTGTTAATTAAACGAATTATCACATTTTAATCCAATCAAATATAGGTAAAGTTCAATCTCTCATTAAAATATAAACATGTCAAATCAATGTGACTATATTTTCTAAGTCATGTATTAAACTCAAAACCAAGTTTTAGATTTAGAATACTTAGTCGTTGTGTGGCTAAAATCCTTTGAGAAACAGTTTAGAGGATGTCTATATCTCCCTTTAGCTTTTTTTTCCCCTCATATATTGATTTAAGGTAACATTTAGGAAAAAAAAAGCATTTTTCTCTTCCTTAAGGTTTTAATTGTAACTATAAAGGTTCAGAACTTCAGAACTAGAAATATTGAATTAAGTAATTATAAGCAAAAGTAATTTAGAGTTTA